CTCAAATTTCCCAGATAACATATTGGTGGGTACTTTACTATTTTGCCCCCCTTAATCGTGATTATTTTTTTTGGATTCTAGTAATTAATGAGGCGACTATTTTATAACATGTTGAGTAGTACAAGATTCTTTTTCATTTTTGTCTCTCGATATTTTTCTGGTAGGACTTTTTTTTTTTGTGTGTGTGTGAATTTTTCTAGTAGGATTTTAATTAAACATGTTCTTAAGTAAAGAAGTAAACCAAAGACCAAATTGTTACAAATACCATTTTTTTTTTGGGTGTTTTTTTTTATTGGATTTGATCTAATGCTTCTTATAATTAGTCTTGTTTCTCTCTTTGATGAATATATATGACCTTCATGCTTTCTTAATTTCTTTTGCTATTTTTAATTTATCTATATAAATAATTTTAGGGAGTGTTTATATGCAAAATGTTTTTATATTTATGAAATTTTTAATTTCTTATATTTGGTAGTTATTTAAAAAAATATTCCTAAGAATGTGATTTTTTGGAAATATTTTTTATCTTATTTTCTTATAAAAATATTTTCATGTGGACGAGAATCTAACTTTTTTGAGTTAAGAAAAAAAGCTTAATGTATAAAAAAAATCATAATATCCTTTTTTAAAATAAAAATTTCTCTCTTTCTTTCTTTACTATTTCTCTCTCACTCTTACTCTCTCAATCTTCCTCTCTCCCTCTCCATTTTTCGCTCACACTCACACTTTCACTCCCCCCTCCTCTCTCTCTCTCCCTCCCATATATTTATTTCTCTTTTTTTCTTACATTTTATTATTTATTGACCCTATTAATTTTAATAATATTATTAAAGTGTTTTATTTTTATAGTTTAATAGTATTTGTTAAATTATTTATTTATTTATTTGGATGAAATAAAATATATATTTTATCATCCTTGAATACTATGTAACATTTTTCTTACTTTTTTTTGGTTGAATTTGGTATTTAAATAATTTTAAATATAAGTTTTTAACATTTTAAAAATAATTTAATGTCATATTTGTAATAAGATTTAAGTAAATAAATATCTAATAAATTTATTTTAATAAATAATATTTTTGTAAAAAAAATTTATATTCCTAAGAATATAATAGTGTAACCAAACAAGAAAATTTTTAATTTACACAAATTTTATATGAATATTCTCAAAAATCTTTATGAGTAACTAAACATATTATAATTATTCATAAGAATGATGATTCTCAATATGTATAATTCTAAGGAATCATGATTCTTACATATCAAAAAATTTCTCACTTACTAAACACCCCCTTAACATGAATGAAAAATGAGACTTTTTTTATACTTTTTCTTCTCTATATTGTCTTTTATTTTTCTCTCATTTATTATTCTATATATCTTTTACTTTTATTTATATCATGTTTTAACAAACACATTTTTTTAAAAAAAAAATTCATTGTACCATTTTTTAACAAAGGAAGTGATTGATATATTTGAAAAGTGAACCCAACCAAGATAAATTAGGTGTTGATGACATGCTCTCCAGCCTTAGAGTTTGAAAGCAAATTAATGGAATTTAGATATTATTTGCTGGCTAAAATTTAATTTTATTACTATGCACGGTATTAACATTTTATATAAAATATATTAATTATGCGAATTTTATAACTTTTAAAGCTAAACTTAACTAAAAAAAACATTTAAAAACAATATCAATATCTAGTAACTTTTGACACACTTCAGTACCTTCTATAAATATCATACTTGTAACATTTTACTAGTCAAATTTACTTGATATTTGTCTCTCTAAAGTCGCAACAGCCAACCCACTTGTCTTTCTAGAAGACTTCTTCAGAAAAGTAACATTATAATATACAATTTTTATCTATACTAACCTTTGAATGTTTCTTCCTAAGCATTATTTAGAGGAAAAAGAAACAAAAGACTTTCTAAAATGGAGGACCCTACGTTGAAACTAAAATATATATTATAAACATATTATATACACATAATACAAGTGCAAATGATTGGTTTAAGCCATTGAAGAAGCATAAATCTATCAAATTTAAGTGGGTTTTTGGTGAATATTAAGTGGGATTTTAAGTAAAGGAAAAAACTGTAAAATGATCTAAATACCTTAAAATTTATAATTTAGATGATTTACTATATGATTTTTTAACGATTTATGATCGCTAAATTAGTAATCGCAACAATGTAACAATTTTTAACAAACGTTTGCATGGAAAGGAATATAAAAAAGAAAACATAAGTAAATTAAAATTAAAAAAATAATGTTAAAAACAAATAAAAAATTCTTGTATCCATGAGTCCAAGCCCAAAGAAGTCCAAGGAGGCCGACTATTAATTATTAAGTCCTCCATGACAGGCCTCGATGGATCAACACAGGCCCAATGGAAAAGGGCTGACGTAGATCGTAGACGAACACAATCCTTGGGCCCAAATATTGTATCACTCAAAAGCAAAATAATTTCTAAACATGACTGTGAATACCCTCGAAAAATGTTTCAGATCCTCTTTTTTCACTCAACTAGATAAGAGCTTTGTTGTAGATTTAGTTTTTTTTTTTTTTTTTTTTTAAAGAGATAATACATATATTTATTAATTTATTAATAATATAAAGGAAAAAAATTCTGGAACAACTTCTTTCTCTCCAAAACTCTCAACTCCTTT